AAGGTCTCAGCATGGGACTGTTAATTACTTCTTAATGATGTCTACAAGCTTACAAACTTGTAGATGTTGGGGCGGTTAGGACCAAACTTTTTCAGCTTAGAGTGTTAGTGGTCCTGGAACCCATAGTGTCAAACAGGTTCTGCACAATACGTCCATCAGATTCTACTGTTCAGCAACATTGTCTATGAATTTCAGAACTCTGGCATGATGTAATAATCAAGGATTTCGAAGGTGAACGAGGGGAAAGGCAGACGCACGTGGATTTACTCTCAGGTTATTATTGTCTGGAGTTCACATTTTTGGGCATTTCATATACTATTTGAACAGAGTTCACCTGCACATGTCCACTTTACTGATACAGGCTGTAACCAAAAATGCAATGAGCCGTAGCTCTTAATCCCTTACAACAACGGTAACAACAACCAGGGTGAGGACACAGTAAGGTTAAACCGTGTTCAACAGACAATCTCAGGTGGCTAACGCCATATCTCCCATCAAGTCAGCTCTGTTTTTAAGCGCATAATTATGTTTTTACATATTGAAATAAAAGGAATTTAAAAAATCATATTTAACAAACCTACACATTACCAAATACAAAACTTTATAACCCTTTCTAGACTTCGTTCCAATTAACCTGGATCATTCATCTCGCTCGCGAAGGTCGTATGCGACTTCAAAGTGAATACGTCTACAGTGTATAGGTAACTTTTAACTGTATCATATATACTCATGATAAGCAATTATTTTCGTTCCTAATTCGAATGAGCACATTCTGAGGCTAAATCTGCAAAAGGACAGATAAAATATTTCTTTGTACAATGCAAACGATACAAACGTAGCGGCTGATAATAGAGACAATGATTTAATAATCTGCAATATATCATTTGTTCTCGTTCAATCTATTGTACATATTGAAGTGATTGTAAAGTTTCAAGGAGCACTAAAATGTTGTGGTATTATGAATGTATTTAGAATATGAATAGCGAAAAACAGTCACCATATCGGATGTACATGTATTATTTGTCTTCCAACACCACGCTTGTGCCGAGGCCCATGGTCATAAAACTAATCGGTCCCATAAAAGGAGCAAATAGTTTCGCAGATACTACTTGCTATGGTTCACTCCCAATTATCAGACGACCTAATCATCAGTCAGACCAGTCAAGTGTGACCTCCTAATTACTGAACTGCACAATACTGTCATACTATGGGCAGAGTAAGCGGCCTCGTTGAGTGATACAGACTAACCAGATTATGATTGTGTTTGTAAGTTGCGTTTAATCTGTGTCGGGTTGCAGTTGTTTTACAAGGCAAGACTAGTGGTAGTTTTTTCAATGAAACCTTTTAGCCATTGAATTTGTTTTGCATTCATTTCATTAAATACATTGTTAGGTAGAATAATAACACGTTATATGGATTAAACATCTCCCTAATCTGAGTATAATCTCACATGTACTCTAAGTACCGTACTATATTACTTTGCGGAGACACTGAGTATAATTTTTGAGTTGGCATTGTATGCTGTCTGAATGACTTTACACAAATCCCTGCATTCAATGGACCCGTGACGATCTTCAACAACCCATTCTTGTCGTAAAAGGGCGACAGCGCTTGTAGTAAGCGGCGACTACCGGGATCGGGTGGTCAGGCTCGCTGACTTGGTCGATGCATGTCATCGTATCCCAATTGCGCGGATCGATGCACATGATGTCAATCACTGAATTGTCTGGTCCAGACTTGATTATTTACAGACCGCCGTCATACAGCTGAAATATTGCTTAGTGCGGCGCAATACAACTAACAAACAAACAAAACTTTCAGGAATTCACAACAATCACTATGACGAGGTATACATATCTTGCAATCAACCTGAATTCAGTTACTGGAATGTCAAACCCGGGCTTGGTTAAAACAAGAATTGCAGTTAGATCCGCTATATGCTGTAGATCTCCTGTAGTCAAGAGATGCAATAGCGAGGCAGAACTATGTCAATTTATGAGGGACAGACAGCTACTCGAACATATATAAACATAGCAGCCAAAGATAAAAATGAAATCATATCATGTACGAAAATAGAAATCATGTCACCACAAAAAGAGAAAGTGTATGAGTACTAAAACTTGCAATAGATATGCATACCCTACGTACACACATGAGTCCCATTCGACAGTCTACAACACACGAATAACTGTCAAACAAGTTTGGATACCCCTTCTGTTCAGGCAAGTTATTTAGTTCAATAATTTTGTATTAAAATCCTTTTCAATTTGTTTTCACCATTTTCCCTATTCCATGCATGTTTATGTTGCTACATCTTATTGCTCATGTTTCCAAGTATTGTAAACACTTTAATGTTTCGCCTTCTTAATCTAACGTTATAACATTTCAGGTAATTGCCATCATCTAATACACAAGAGATGATACCAAGACATATTTTATTCGGTTTTATGGTCTATGCGGTCTTACAATTGATTTTATTAGTCTTTAAATCTTATGTCTAGTAAATATTTTCACAAACAGGGCTGTTAGCTGATATAAGGAATGTAACATCCTGTTGAGGACTGAATACGACGTACGTTAGTCTGGTAACGACGTTTCTACAATTAATATTTTGAATAAGCCGTTAATACGCCAGTTGTGACAGGGATGATGGTATGGTAGCTGTAGCAGACATATTGACAGCCGTTGTTACGTGAGTCACTAGGTTATTAGTACGGCATTGGCCTTGTGGATTGTTACTATACTTTGAGGATTTCTGTGGCCAGTGGCGGACGTAATTCAAACTCCTTCCACACTGACATCGCACCAAATATATTTGTGTACCGATTACATAACTCTTACTGACAGGGTAGGGTGGTAGTTCACGCGAAACGGACGACACTGTGTAAATTGAGCGGCTCCTTTGATATCGCCTCACAACCTACTTTTAATGAATGACCCATTAAACGATGATACACATCAGGATCGCGGAGAAAATACAAGATTCGTTCTCGTTGAATATATATATCAAGGCAAAAATTCATCTTTCATAAACTTTTTGTATCTTTGTGCTTAATATATCCACATATCAACGAAAATATGTAATACATGTATCCACAAAAATATACATGTACAGGCTAGGTATTTGCCAACATCAACACCTGCATAACTGTTGATTCACGCGTGGTGTGGCAGATTCTAATTGACCGACAGCAAGTATTGTAGAATCACCTGTAAATAAGGCCGACACTGTAATTAGACACAACGTACAAATGAGAATATGAGAATTATCATGAGAAGGCTGTTACGTTTTTCTTAACTATTACCATTTTCATACCAAAAGTGACAATGCAGTTAAAAGTTGCTTTATTGTCACAATATTCTCTCAAATTTTCCTCAATCGCATTGAAACATAATTCCTACTGGTCAGTTCGACATCGCTTGTACATAAATAATTATTTCGAGATTTCGTTAGAATGTAAGATATTCAGCCAAACGTTATGCAATAAAAGACGAATAGTTTCTTTCCATTAAAATACGCGCACGCGTACCTGTCACGTAATTGCCCAGTGTGATGTATCAACGGGACATAAAATGGGAAATGAAATAGAAACTAACTAAAATTTAATGTTGTGGAAAATAACTCCAATGAAATGGAGTACACGCACATGAATTCGTATGATAAACCGCCAAAACGTTTTGAGAGGTAAGGCCGGGTTCATTAAAGATCGCTACAATATGTAAAACAGGTGAAATTTGTAGAACTTCTATAAAGGAAACATCCAACCAAATGCCCTTTTTAAATAGAAATGTAATGATATAATATAAAGTATATTTCACATGATACAATAAACTTTGCACACAGTTAGTTGATGGGCAAAACCTTTTTCTCGGCCATGGGCGAAATATTTCAATATCGCTATAAAATCGTTGAAATACGTTAAAATGAGTTAAATTTTGTGTCATGATACTTGAATAAATACATTTAAATGTATTTGCGAAACAAAAACATGAGTTTTGAGTAAAGGAACGTATTCTCGCCCATGGGCCAAACCTTTTTCTCGCCCATGGGCGAAATATTTCAATATCGCTATAAAATCGTTGAATTAAGTTAAAATGAATTAAATTTTGTGTCATGATACTTGAATGAATACATTAAATGTATTTGCGAAAGAAAAAAATGAGTTTTAAGTAAAGGAACATATTCTCGCCCATGGGCCAAACCTTTTTCACGCTAATCGGCGAAATATTTCAATATCGTTATAAAATCGTTGAATTAAGTTAAAATGAGTTAAATTTTGTGTCATGATACTTGAATGAATACATTAAATGTATTTGCGAAACAAAAAAATGAGTTTTAAGTAAAGGAACATATTCTCGCCCATTGGCCTGCCCATGGGCCAAACCTTTTTCTCGCCCATGGGCGAAATATTTCAATATCTCTATAAAATCGTTGAATTAAGTTAAAATGAGTTAAATTTTGTGTCATGATACTTGAATGAATACATTTAATGTATTTGCGTAACAAAAAAATGAGTTTTAAGTAAAGGAACATATTCTCGCCCATTGGCCTGCCCATGGGCCAAACCTTTTTCTCGCCCATGGGCGAAATATTTCAATATCTCTATAAAATCGTTGAATTAAGTTAAAATGAGTTAAATTTTGTGTCATGATACTTGAATGAATACATTTAATGTATTTGCGTAACAAAAACATGAGTTTTAAGTAAAGGAACATATTCTCGCCCATGGGCCACACTTCGCCCATGGGCCTGCCCATGGGTGACATAGTCTAAATATTGAGTTTTTGAACAATATTTTTTTCATTTTTTCTTCCTTGGTATGTTCCCATGAAAACAGCATCTTTAATTTTGTAAATACCTTTAACCGAGACTTGGCAAAAACCGTAGAGTTTCTGGACTTTTGGGTTTCAAGAATTAAAATGGGACGTGTTAATTCTGCAATTATTTACAAATGGCCTGTGGCCAATACGTAACAAAATTATATATCGATTGAACTTACCTTTTCAGCCTGTGGCAGTGTCGACCTGTTGGTAGATATATGTTGGCTGAAGTGTACGTGCTTGTATATATATATATATGTCCATTATGCTAATAGAAAGTTAATTGTCACTTTGATCACGACACGGGTGTAATTAAACTGGTGTTAAATGATATTAATACCAAATGTGTTTATCCTATCAGAAATATGAGGCGTCCCGCACGGATAACACTGGTAACAGATGCTTGCTTGCGCTCTCTCTCTCTCTCTCTCTCTCTCTCCCTCTCTCTCCCATCTCTCTCTCTCTCTCTCTCTCTCCCTGTCCCTATCTCTCTCTCTCTCTCCCAAAATCATTGTGCGTTGCCAACTGCCACGTCACGGTTTATTTACACAAAAAGCCTCTGATTCCTGCACATGATTGGTAGGCGCAAGTTCAATGATGCTTTCTGTAGGTCAAGGGGTAATGCTGCAGCCAGGGAAACCAAACTCCGAATTGTATTGTGATCATAAGGCATCAATAGTATACGTAGTGCTTGGCCGACAACCATGATTATCCATCATGCGAATTTTTTAACAGTTTAACTTGTCAACTGGTTTTGAATAAACACATAACACATCTGTGTCAGCACTATGAGGTGCGTCCCACACGGAAACGAAGTAATGGTAATTATTTGTTATTGCATGCTTGTCAAATCCAATACATCATCCTGACCCGATGACATGAATGGGTTTTTTAGTCAAGCAAATACACTGCATGTGTTGCGAATCTTTATCACTTTTTCTGTGAATTATGAAGTGTTTTGGTTATCCCTTCAAGTAAACACAGAGTTTGCACATCGCTTTAGTCTCCTTGGCACATTCCTGTGTAAAAACTGTGTATGACTGCAGAATTGCTTCGACCCTACTTTGGCTAATGGGGCGGAGTACACCAGCTGAATTGATTTGACAAACGCGCTTATGCTAGGCAGTAAACATTTTGCTTTACAGGGTTAAATATTAAAACATCATGGTGTGTATAGAGAATGAAGTACGCAGTCTGTATTCCATAACCATACGAGATTATGTAAAACGTCACATCAGTGATCCACCCCATGTCTGTTTTTACATTCTACTGGACACAACATAACACCTTCTTCGATATATGTCACTGTCACCGTACAGCCCGTATAAGCAAAGGTTCGAAGCTTATTGAAAACTCCAAGTTCCACAAAACAAAAGGACATTTCTGGGTGGAACTTGTTTGGACGGCAAATGTCAGGCTGCTTTTGAAAAAAAAAAGCCATTCCCAAGAATTCTCCTGTTCACAAGACTTTTTAAAATCTTTCAAATTGGCAGGAGATGCTAGTGACGTTGGTGCTGGTGCTGTCCTGTTGCAGGAAGATGTGATCAGTTCGGACTACAAACATATTTTGCATTTTTTGTAATCATTTCTCTTAATCATCATTTATAATGTTTATTATTATTTACTGTACTTTTCAGTTTTTTTATACTTTTATTAGCAAAGAAAGTTCTCACTGTGTTCAGACTTTCTTTCCCCAAATGTGGAGAGTGTTATATGGCAGTGTATTTTTTTGTTTAACAGTGATTGTAGCTGTGTTGCATTGTTTCTGTTGGTATTCGGTAAACGCTCATTGCGTTGTGTTTGGACGATGATCAGTCGTCATTAAGTTACTATATTTAGATGCCAGTGTGTTCACTTCCGGTCCTGTATACCGCAGACGGTGATAGTATGCAGTGGCGTAGCTACCACGTAGCACAAAAAGTGTCTACACTTTTGAAATTGTTACAAAAATAAAATATTAAATATTTTTTTAAACAGTACTTAGTGTGTTCTTCTTTCAGTTGTATTTAAAGATGCATGGTCTTTTGGTAATTTACAGGTTACAGGTTGACCCATGATCTTTTGTCAATTTACAGGTTGCCTCGCCTGACAGTTTCAAAGTTGTCGTTGATGAGTTGGTTCGATGTTCTTGTTTTGTTACGTTTCCTGTACCCTTTTCACGAACACCTAGAGATTTATTTAATTTTCACAGCTATTTTGCCCCTTACGCCATATGGAATCTGTTCGATGGGCACACTAGAGGGGTTATTCTCTTGCATTGACAATTTATATTTTCGAGAACCTTTGATATTTGATGTGTGGTGAGAATGTGAGATGATGGTCAAATATGAGGTCCAGGACTTAGGCCTCTTCTTACTACCTTGAAAGGAGTACCATCTAAAAATATATCTGGATCGTTATGCGATTTGTATTTACGACAAAAATGAATGTAGTTTGTTTTGGATTTAGAAAATTTGAAGCCATTTTCGTTCGCCAATCTTGGAATTTTGTTGAGACAGAGCTGCAGCTGTCGATCTATTGTATTCAGAGATAAAGTTTTCCTTTTCCTGCTGTTTTCGAAACCTCTGAAATTGAGGCTTATAGTTTGATGGGAGGTTTGCCTAAGTGTCACCAAGTTTGTTGGCAATTTCACATTTAGTAGTTAAAAGTGTATTACTATTTTTGAGATGGTGAACACCAGATTTTGATCCTTTGACCTTAATTTTGGATACGTAGTACCTCCAGAATTGACGTTTATTTTGTTAAAAGGTATGTCTCTCTTTGGAGCCCTTGATTTTAATTTTGTTCAGGTTGTGGACAATCGGATATCATAGGAAATATTTCTTGGCTTTCTTCCTATTTTTCCTGAGTTGTTTACAATCATTATCAAACCATGGTTTATGTATATGTGTATTTGCAGAGGAATTAGGAATGCTTTCGTCTCCAATAGCATTTAATATACCTGAAAAAGGTTTTAAGGGATCAGGAACATTCCTGAAACTGTTAGGTTTTAGTTTTTCAGTACATAGTGTTTGGAATAAAGACCAATTGGCCTTTGTAAAGTTCCACCTTGTTGAATGTGGTTTATCAGACGGATTAATGGTTGTAAGTGTTGTTGGAAAATGGCAACTTCCACAAAGGTCATCATGGACCGACCTTTCGAATTTATTTATAATATTTGAATCTGTTAGTGAAAGATCTAGGGCAGAGAATGTGCCAGGGGCAGGATGAAGATAGGTATTAGAACCATCATTGAAGATGCATAAATCATTATTTGAGATAAAATCTTCAAGGACGTTTCCCTTTTTATTTGGATCAGTACACCCCCATAGGGGATTTTGACCGTTTAAATCGCCCATGATGATACAGGGATTCGGGAGCTGATCGTACAAAGTTTGTTGAGGAAGGTGGAAGATACAGTGAACATAATGTTAACACCATCTTCAAATTTACACGGACCGCAACAGCTTGTAGAGTAGTGTTGAGTGGAACAGGGCTATGGCTTATGCCCTGTATTCACCAGGATAGAAGAACCTCCTGTAGCTTTATCACTGGGAGGGGAAAACGAATGGTAAGAACTGTACTGATGGATATCAAATAGATCTGTACTCTTTAGATATGTTTGTTGGAGACAAAAAGCTGACGGTTAAAAATCTTGGATTAAAAGTTGTAGTTCATCAGACCTCTGCAATACCATTGGATAATGTTTTGTGGAGGAAGGCTTTGTAGTACTCCTATTTGCTTCATGTGGAGATGGAGTTACCTCCATGTCAAGAGGACCAATGGAGTTATGGACCTCTACTGGGACATCTAAAGGAGAGTGGCCTTTGGTGTCTGCAGCTGTTCTTTTTGCTGCTTTTGTTTCGTTAATTAAGTTCAACTGAGGTGTAAGGAGTCTGAGACTCAACATTTTTATAGTTTTTTGTTTAGGAGGAGTCACAGACGAAGGTGTCACAGCTGGTCTTTCTAAGGAATGGGTAGGCAGTGGCTGAACAGACATGACCCATGTCAGATCAGTCTGGCAGTCGAAAGAGGTAGTGGTGACAGGAGGACGAGAGTAGAGTAGAAAATGCCAGATCATGGTGGTTGCAGTAGTACCTACAACCCTCTGTTTTGCTTCATGGTACGAGAGATTGTGTTCGATTTTGACTGTCGTTGCTTGTGATTCGCGTTGCCACACATAACAGGGTTTAGTAAAGGCCATATGGTTCCTACCGCAGTTTGTACACTTCACATCATTCTACAGTCAGTGGCCTCGTGCTTGTCACCGCAGTGGTAACAAGCAGCAGAGGCATGGCAGGATTTGAATCCATGTCCAAACGCTTGGCAGGTGTAGCACCGGAGTGGGTCGGGGATATACACCTCCAATACAATGCTACAGTAACCAGCTTTGATCGATTGTGAAATTTTCAAAAGTGCGAAAGTCTCTTCAAAGAGATAGGTGTTGGTCTGTACAGCCACACCATCCTTTTAGACAGTCAATAGTTTGACAGCTGTGACAGAATGTTGGACAAGTTCTTTGACTTTTTCATCTTCAGTCATGCCAGACAATTCCCTTGCATGAGTTAAGTGTCCTGTGTTCAGAGACAGCAACCTTGATATTTACAAACTCTTTCAATTTGAGAAGATTGAAGGATGTGTCCCTGCACAAGGAGAGAACTGGATCGAAGCTTGGTGACATTTGTAACCTCTCCACAGATACCAGTGATCCCTTGGGAGATTGCAAACAGATTCATTTCTATGGGTTCTTTGTCACAAGTTTCGATAATAAAAAAATGTTCAGATCGGTTGTTGATATTTTCGTCAGGTGAATTGACAGATTCTATATATCCTCATTTTGAACCAGGGTGTTGGGAAGCCATGTTGAAAGAAAAATGATCCAGCACCCCTTTCCCCCTACCCACCACAGAGTGTCTACAAGGACAGTCTTATACTGCAGTGGAATTCCAAGGTGCAAAGACCGAGGATAAAGGGGTTGTATACTCCAACAAATTTGACTCGGAAAGTCATAGTTATCTACCAAATCAAGAGTCAGGCTTGTTCGGCCCATGACAATTAATTGGAGACGTATAGAATTCGGAAGTCAGCATCATCAGATTGGCCCATGAGCCACCGCCTTCTGGGCATAGGACTCAAGCAAGTTTTATAGATTCATACATATATTATTAGACATTTTGAATAGATTTATTTTTAAATACCAAATGTTTGTGCGAAATATTTTATGCCCAGGGCATTACATGACCAGCCGATTC